GTATTTATACAGTCTTTATTTTACAGTTAAAATATATGTTTATCAAATAAAGTCTAATGTTACAACTAATCGGGGATTCCTTTAACTAGATATAAAAAATAAAAACACAAGACTAGAAGTAATTCAGTCTCAACCAACCAGAAAAACCCAATCAGCTCAAATAATCAACCAAGCATTGATGAATTCAGTCATGAACATGAAGGAAACCTTTGAGCTGCAGAGAAACAACTTCTACAGAAACATTTATTTCTGCCTTTTACAGCCAAACATAAAACACACAGCAGGTCCATCAACACGTTTGTTTGGACGGACTCATGTAGAAAAGCTGGGTTCAGTGCAGGAGCGGGACATGTCTGAGATTTTCAACATTTTCACCCTCTACATGTTTCCAGCTTTAAAGTCCGAACTGRGACCACGTCTTATTTCTACATTTCCTCTTCTTATAGTTTGTTGTTTCTGAAAAAGAGACGGTCAACCTCAAAACAAAACGTAAAAAGAGTACTTCCCTCTCAGCAAGGAGAAGCTCTGCTGATATGAAACTAAAACAAACACTAAAAACACACAGAAGGCTTGATTCAGTCACTCCTGACAGGTGCACAAAAACAAACCAGATCTCTTCTCTGACTCCACACTTCCTCATTCTRCAACTTCCTAAAACTGTCTGAGCTGAAACATCAGGTCCTGACATCCAGTTTTACCTCTTGGGTGCACCGGGGTGAAGGGGATGCTCTGAGACAGCCTCATCAGGTTGTTCCGCTCCACAGCTACAAGGAAAAACAAAACAAAACAAATAAGTGGAAATAAATAAATAAATGCGCAAATGCAATGCAATAATCTCGCGATACGTTAAAATGAGATTTTCTAACTGCACCGGCTGTGATTTGACTGGTCACGTGACTTGGGAGTGAGCCAAGCGGAGCAGTGTTGCTAACTTAGCGTCGCTAGAGACCCCTCTATTACCTCTTTTTTTCCGCCAAAAAGCAACCAGCGTCATATCTGATGACTTTTCCTGGTGTTTTTGGAGACTTTTAGAAGCTTTGGTGACAGCACTTCCCTCCTTTTCTCCCCCGCAAGTGGTGCGGGGAGCCCCTCCCCCTTCCTAAAGCGGTCCGAGCCTCGTGCAGCAGCGCACGCACACACACCCGGCTACAATCAGCTGAAAGGAGACCGCTGCAAATGAATCTTGCATGCGCCAAGTATATATATATATATA